TAGAGCTGGCATTTTCTAGTCCCTTTAAAGCCTTTTTCAACCCTTCGGGAACGACGTCATCTACGTTTTTGTGGCATCTCCGGTCGGATCTGAATTTGTTGTCACAATCCCCTTAAAACTGCCTCAAAAAACAGCAATAAACTTTTGTAGCATTTTCAATATTCTTTGGTCATAAACGCCTCCGCCGGGCGGATTAAGCGCTAATATTCGCTATCACGCGCTCTTTCTCCCTCGCTCTCTCACTCTCGCTCCTTCTCTCTCTCTCTCTCTCTCTCTCTCTCTCTCCTTCTCCCTCCTCTCAAATAAACAGTTTTTGGCCTCGTGACAGCCGCCATAATAATATGCCGTTAAGCTTTTGATAAGGCGCCTGCCAATTTGGGGGTGTACACTGGAATTTGCCGAAAAAAGTGGCGGCGGAAAATGGAAATATATATAGCCGGGGTGGCCGCTGCATCCCTGCCAGCTCTGATAAGCCCGGAAATGGGCCGGTCTCTTCCGAATTTTGCATAAATCCGGCTGGGGGGTTGATAGCGTCCTCTTGTCTCCTAGGGTCTTTGCCAAGGGTTACACTTTTTTAGTTCTTTTCCATTATCGGGGGGTGGGGCGGCAAAATACCTACAACTCGACTAAAAAAACCATTTTTGGACAAAATCCCCAATTTTTAAAATTCTTAGAGTTTTGAGATTGCCTTTTTTACTGAATAAAGTTTATTTTATTAATGCCATTAATCCATTTAATTTACTTATCAATTTTCATAAAAAACGACTTTCTAAAAAAAACCAAATTTTTTTCAAAAAAAATCCATTGACGATGCTTTCCTTGCAATTTTGATCATTCTGATTTCATTTGTGTTGTCTCTTTCTCCCCCTTTTTCTTTGCTGTTTCGAGCGGGGTTGCCTTTGGGCACTTCCGGTGGTGGTGTGCATCCATCGGAATGGACGATACGACCTCGCCGCCCAGCGAACAACAATATCCTTGACCGACGGGCACTCGCTTTCTCTCTCTCTTTCTCTATCTATCCCTCTCTCTCTCTCTCGCTCTCTCTCTCTCTTCCCCATTTCCGGTCCCTCAATTGGACCCTTATTTGAACTCTGTTTCCCCACATCAAGGTTACGGTAGTATCCGGCCGTTCCGGTACTTTCCTATCCACGTCATCCTTGCACTAGGCAGGTTTTAGATTGTGCTTGTTTGACCTCCTTATCTATTATTATAGGTATATAGGCTGTGTTTTTGCGTTCGTCTCACCTGCTCTTTCCTTTTTTGGATGACACACTCTCTCTCTCTCTCTCTCTCTCTCTCTCTCTCTGTTCTCACACTCTAAGTGATTCTAATTTTAGTTCAACACACAAAAATTCTTATGAAAATCTCACCAGCTCGATTCTTTCGGCAACTTCCTATTGGGAAGAGGAGATGGTTAGTTGGCATTTAGGGGAGAAAGAGCAAAAAAAGTTAGACCAGTAATCTTCTGTTAAAGGGGGGGTTTAGCGGGAAAAATGGCTTCGCGGTTAATGGTAGTGTATTTTCATAGTGTAGCGGTCTTAAATGCCTAGAAAATCGTAAAAAACATCAAGAAAATTTTGAAAATTGTAAAAAGTAAACATAATCATGCCACCATCTATTCCAAACCCTATTTTTAGTGCCGCAGTCTCACAACCATCCACCTCGGAACGAGAGCTGATCGACGAAGTGGCGCATTTGGATCGAGATTTGGCCGATTATTCGTTGTCGACGATGGGAGGGGACTATTATTCGGATACTCGACCGCTTATTAAAGGTATGTTCATATTTCTCGCAATCTCTCTTTCTGTCTCACCTTACGAATTGGCTTTCTAAATGGCTTTGTAAATACCGAAACTTTTAGAATCTTCCCACTCCGGCCACAGTACCCTCGAGACAAAGAGGAGTAGCGGAAGTGAGGTGGGAGGACATAGCTGCTCCTCATCCCCACCGACCGTAAGATTGATGAGTGATGAGGAGGTGGCAAGATGGCATGAGAAGGAGAATCGGCTGCATAGTAAGGTAAGGAATTGCGAGAGAGAGAGAGACCGAGAGAGGGAGAGTGAGTGGTAGAGAGAGAAAGAATGAGAGAGAGCGCGTGATAGAGAGACAATGAGCGAGAGAGAGGAAAGAGAGAAAGAGGTAGTGTGCTATTTTGTGCAAAACCGTTCAATTCTCCGACTTCCGTGCCAAACCATAATCCACACAATCATAATCCTCTAATCCCCACTAAGTTATCAGCGTTCAAATCCGGAAAGTCGCCAGATTGACGCAAGCAAAATCGCGCCCATTTCCAGGTTGATAAGAAGCTTGATGCGGCGGCGAGACGGCCAAGCCCAACGCAGAACGAGCAGGGAAAAAATGGGTATGTGAATAATGGGATAAATTATTTATGAATCAAATAACGGAGAAAGTAGATTAAATTGGAAAAAAGAATTTCGAATCGTCAAAAGCAAAATTGAATTTAGTGACGAACCAAGGAATTACCTGGAGTGGACATCGCAAGCCCAGGAAGCCTACAAATTTCTTGTCGAATGCGGTGATAACCTGCAAAAAGACGTCGTTAAAGGTAAAAATCGCAACTCGTTTTCAACCTTGCCTTTTCAATTCAATGGTTCAAAAAAAAAGAAACTGATTAAACTACGGTAAATAGGGACTTACAATTGGTCGAAAAATTGGAATTCACAGAAATTAGCAGCTTTTTTTGTTTGGAGTATCTGCAAGCCAAAAAACCTGGCAGTTTTGAAGTTTTTAAAATAAAAAGTCACTTCTAGTCATCACTAGAAATAATTGAATTTAAAAGACCAATCATTGGTTTTAGCAGCCAGCATCTCGCCGCGTAGCCCCTCCTCAGCCCCGACCAGTACGAGATGCTCCTCTGACGACAAGCCCGTTGCGAAAATTAATGCGACCCGGATATCGGCTGATGCGGCTTCGGCTCATGTCAGGGCTACGATACCGGTAGGCTTTCCGAACTGGCCGGCGTTTAAAGGAGCAAGATGGCGCGAAAATCGACCATTGCTGTCAAGTACGTCTCGACAGCCAGGCAAAAACCCATAATAATCGTGAAAAAGCGGTTGGATTTTTGAACGAAGGGATGCAAATTAGAGGAAAACGTAGTAGAAAATAAAATTATATTAAAAGCGTCATTTGGAGTGCAGCGTAGCTGTCGAGACCTGGCGTATGCAGGGGTCGATTGTAACATTAGCCGGTCACTAAATAAAGACCAATAAAACTCTATTTTCTGCCTTTTCCAGAGCAACAAGATGGGCTCGGATTTCGTGGCTCGTCCTGCTCTACCTCCAAAATCGTACGTCAACACGGAGAGCATGAAGGTAACAAAAATAATATTTTAAGTAACTGCGTTAAATTGAATTAACTGTTTTAAGAATCAGTAGAGTATCGAGTATTAATTAAGACAAATTTTTCTATATTGCGGCTCTAAAAAATCGATTTTAGCCCCCAGAGCTTCCGCCCAAGAAGACGAGCCGTGTAGCCCCGGACGCTGGTTACGATAATATCAATGGAATGGGTGGGTTTCAGGGCCGTTTTTGAATTGTATGAATCTTCCAAAGTCCAACGAATCAATTAAATTTTTATGCGGATCTTTTGGATCGATTTTCAACATCTTTGGGACCGGAAAATTTAAGCTGCATTTTTAGCGATTTTTCGATAACTTTGAAACCTTTTTGGTCAATTTAAAAAAAATTTGTTTTTCTGGGAAACAATACCGAATTTAAAACTTATAATATGCCCTTTGCCACAGCTAAGAGCTTTCATACAACAAAATATCTACAGAGTACATCTGAAATTATGGTACACATCTTAAAACCATCCAAGCGAATTTATTAAACATCTTTCAGCGAATTCCAAGACCTGCTCTAACTCCAAACTACCTCCTCCAGTTCCGCCAAAGCCCAAAACACGGTAAGAATTTATATAAATCAGTATTCTATTTAATTTTTGTAGTATCGTGGCCCGGTATATTACGTAAATAATATCGTAAGTGTACACATTCATTAAGCCTGCCAATAATGCACGCTTTTTGAAATGTTTCCCCACTGAACTATCGCTTAGTTTTTGAGAAATTATACTAACTTTTCTACCTTGCAATATTAGATTTTTCGTGGCTAAAAATATGTAAATTTTCAGGACGATCCAACCGACGATGGTGCCTGCTGAGAAAACACCGAATTTTCCGTTAATTCCGCGAGGCGCCATATTTACCGAGGAGGTGTTGAAGTTCTAGATTTTTAGTTAGTCTCCATCCTCTCTCTCACTCTCTCTCTCTCTCTCTCTCTCTCTCTCTTTCTCTCTCTCTCTCTCTTTCTCTTTCTTCCTCAAAAATCCCTGCTCACGCACCCCTTTTAGCAGTCATACTGTACAATTTTAGTCTTTGTATTTTTCCATTCTCTATTTTCCTATTTTTCTGATGAATTTAGCAATACGGGTTTACACTTATTTCTTAGTGTTATTTCCCTTTTTGCCGGTGTGATTTTCTGAACCCTATTACGCCCTCTTTTGTAGCTAAAATGCAACCAAAATCGTGTCGATCCATTGGCTCAATTGCGCTATTATGACTATTCGAACTATTTACACGTTTAAAACTGGACTTTGTGATATGGGTGAACCCAGTAATAAATGTTTTGCATATCCTTTATTTAAAAAAAATGCAACTTATGAGAATGACCCAAAGCAGAAGCAGAGATACAGTTCTGGCAGTCGCTCGTAGTCTTTTTGGACCAAGGAAAACAGGAGCGATGTGGTGAGCCGGTTCAAGGCCAACATACCAGCCAAATAAAGTAAAAGTAAAGTTGATGCTTAATTAATTTTCAAAATCTACAGGATCACATGTTTGAGAATTATCGGGGTCACCAGAAATGGATGGCGTAAATACCGCCTAGGCAGCGTCTAATAAACTCGAACTCAGAAATTGACTAAAATCGATGATGATGATCATCGATATGTTAGCGGAATTTGCTAGCGATCTTCAAAACGCGAAATATATACCGTTTAGGGTGGTTTGTGATTTTTCGCCCTCCCCTCCCCCCTCGCCGTCTCTTTTTTGCCTTGAACTTCTAATTTATTTTAAACAAATTATTTGGTCAATTTTTTCTGATTCGAATGACGGATTTCACTAAAGCAGGCTTTGCGCGAGATGGCGTTTGAAGTGGACTGCTTTGCACCATTTCCCATAGAAAAATCGGGATCGCATCGTCGATTTTTCCAATTCCTCCAGTTTTCGAAAATTTGGAGTTAGAAAGCTCGTTCGAAAGAAAAAAATTTTCTGAATACGTTGGCGCTATTGCTTTTTGCAAAATCGGTCGGGAAGACCGTGATAATGAGGTAGAAGCTCAACGATTCAAACTAAAGGATAACAAGTGGTATATCTCGAATTTTGAAGATCAGTCGCGAGTTCGGATGACCAGGAAGATGATCAGCGTGGGCGATTGTAGCAGTGTGCAAATTTTCTCCCAGTTCTGAGTCGGGGTGGCTTACAATATCGAGGCAATACGGTAATCGTAAATCTACGGGGGATTGAAAAAAAGCCCTCCCTCCCTCCCTTCTCACTCACGGTCCATAAAACCATAAGTTGGGAATGATTTTACTGCCCTTAAAAAGGCTCGTAAAACACCGATGATAGATAGCGGTTTTTATGCGTTTTTCCCTCTCAGAGGGTTTAAGGTACTTTCCGAGAAAAACGGTTTGTTTGCCTTTTTCATGATGCCAAGTACCGGTACGCTATCGCCTTCTTACTGTGGGCCACTTGCGACGATTTATGTGTCATTTAATAGGGCTTTTTGGGGTATTTCAAGCACAAAAAATTTAATATGCAATAAACAGAACATCTTATCTACAAAATCCAGACAAAAAAATATTAGATGAACTCACAAGAGCAAGGCAAATTCCCCGATTGCGATTGGAATAATTGATTCTAGACAAGTAGAAGATAAATTAAAAACTCGGCCTGTCTCAATCCAATAAAAATTGCTCTTCTAACTACTGTAAGGTGTTTTTAGTCAAGTTCTAGTTACGTTTCGGGACCAAGTGCATCTTGTACAGAATTTTTTGCTGATTCCGACCCCGCCTGCCAAATTTGCTGCGGACTTTTATCTTGAAAGTTATACAACAATTATGGTAGTGTTTTTCGCCAAAATCAAGGAATCGTTAACGTTTTCGATTTTCTTGATCAACTTCGACGCCGAAATTGGATAGAAATTGACTAGTCCAGCATCTTAAAAGTCAAAACAAGCTTTTTTTATAAAAAATTAAATTTTTTTATTCAAAAAGCAAAAGGAAGGTGCAGGCGGGGATCCGAACCCCAGCCCTGCGCTTGGCAAGCGAGTACTTTGCCAATGCACCATGGTGCCAACCGGCAGGGAAGCTGTGAGAGAGTACTTCAGGGCACCAGGACCCTGAGAGCCGAAGAGCAATAGTAAGCCAGAATCCGAATTTTTTACTTTTTACGCTAAATTTGCAGCAAAAATGCCTCTTTAAATAAAAATCCGCAGCAAATGTGGAAAACGGGTTCGGAATCAGCGAAAAATTCTGCACAAGATGCATTTGGTCCCGAATCGAAACTCCAACTTGACTAAAAACACTTTACAGTAAGCCTAGCCTACGCCTACGCGACTAAGCGTGAGCCTCGGCCAATCATACCGAAGTCCAAGCCTGAGCCGTCAGGTCTAAAAGCCCAACAAACATCTGCTTTAGATGCTTTTGGGATGCACCGAAGCCCACGTTGCGCTCGAAATTGTGATCAAAGTCATTTTCAAATCGTGCTTCAAAGGACTTTGGCAAAAATTTCTCAAATTTTAAAATTTTGGAGTGCCGTCAAAAATGAGCAAAATGACCCTGTCAGGGAAAATCTTTCAATATGCGTTTTCTCTTTTGTCATTTTCTGAAAGATCGGATCTGTTTAGAATTTAAAATCGTTTCAAAATAAATCGCAAAACTACGAAAGCACCATGTAACCCTTTGTCTAAGCCTAATCGAAAATGCAAATCGGTTGACTGTTGTGTTAATGGTTTTCCTCGATGCTTTTCTAAGTTTTTGTATAGCCATTAAAGGTGTTCCATTTCCGGGTTTTTTTTTTAGCTAAAATGCCATGTAGCTTCTTCAAAATAACCACCTTTAAGTTTCTGAAAACCGGTTCGAAATCAGTGCAAAATTCTATACAAAATAGGCCTGTTGCCGACTCAAATTCCAATTTCCACTAAAACATGTCGACATTTTTTCACGGACCAATCAGAGCCCGAGAAAGTTACTGTCATTTATCAAACTTCAAGCCCGGCCGCCCTGGCCAAGTCGTAAAAATGGCTTGAAAAACGAAGTGGAAACTATGACTTCATAAAAGCCACAAAATCTCGTGAGCACCGCCCCAAGCCGCACTGTTCTGATGGCTAAAATGGGCGATTTTTTGAAGATATCGGAAGGCTCAGGCCGCCTTTATCAGGCTCGGATCAGCTAGGTGCGGCTGCTGAGATTTTTTAATCGGTGCCACGCTGAAAAACCCTTCGAGCCTGCTCCCGAAAACGATAAACAACGCGGGCTGCGTGTGCTGTATCGTATCGGATCTGATTTTCGAACTTTTAAGCATATTCGGTAGGCGTAGAATATCAATTAAGCCATGGGAGAGCTTACTGTAGCTTATTTGCCGAATCTGTGCTCTTAGAACTAAAAAATGCTTTCAAGCTAGTAGTAATTCTCTTACAGTAACCGTTTTTTTGTTGACCGTGGGATTTCGATACGTGAGATAGCACAATTTGTGCAGAATTTTTCGCTGATTCCGAATCCGTTTTCAAAAGTTGCGGAACCCCTCTCGATAAAAAGTTAAAACCGGTTTTCTACCCCAAATGACCGAAAGTTACAAACCTTAAATCCTTATAAAAAACTCGTGGAATATATTATGGGATAAAATACAGCACTCCGAGGGGTAAAAAAACGTGCTCTTTCGAATGGGCTACCTCACGAACCCGTAGCTCAAAATTCACAAAATTTCAAAAATTGGCCATCCAGGGCATAGATCCACTGAAAAACTTTTTTTCATGAATTTTGAGCTACGGGTTTGTGAGGTAGCCCATTCGAAAGAGCACGTTTTTTTACCCCTAGGAGTGCTGTATTTTATCCCACAAAATATTCTACGAGTTTTTTATAAGGATTTAAAGTTTGTTATTTTCGATCATTTGGGGTAGAAAACCGGTTGTAACTTTTTATCTAGAGGGGTTCCGCAACTTTTGAAAACGGATTCGGAATCAGCGAAAAAATTCTGCACAAAATGTGCTATCTCACGTATCGAAATCCCACGGTCAACAAAAAACGGTTACTGTTAGTGAAAAACCGACTACTCAGATAAACTCACCCGAAAATTTTCCCTGGCAGCCAGCTCATTCACGGTTTTTTGGGGATACCTTAAGACCACTACCATAATACTCCTTCTAGCGGTTCTTGCGGTATTTTTGTTACGTGCTTAGGTGTGTAATTGTCTCAATATGACTGCATAGGTAGCCGATGTTTCAAAATCCGCTCTTTTCGTTAGTAAATTTCATTTTTATAACGTTTTTGGGCGCGCTCTTTGCTACGGCACAATTAGCATCGAAATCACCAGCGCGGAAATGCTACAAAAATCGAGCGATTGCACGCCGAATTCCGGGATATTTGTCGAGACAGAATACAAGCTCACCGTTATTCTTTTTCGGCGCTTAAATCGTCGAGATCTGAGACGCAAGAAAATTTTTTTCGGTTGATTTTCCATTCTTCAACGAGTTCGGTTGCGAGTGCGAGTATGTATGTATATCGGCGTCGAAATAGTGTCCTTTCAAAATAGAGATTTTTTGAAAGCGCAACTTTCGAGATCCTGATCTTTCGAAATGGTGTTTTCGAAATCGTGTATTGGATAATTTAGATGGCGAGGAGGGACATTGCTAGGGATGCCAACGGAATTCCTCTAGACGAGCGTACTTTCACCTATGCGTTTGTTATTATTCTATACATCGCATCAATGATCATCGCGGGAGTTAGCTGCGGTAGCAATTCGTGGATCGTTGTATCCTCCAACAATAGCCCAGAAAAATATCAGGTGTGCCAATTCTTTGCAGCTATGCAAAATATTATTTAGCGGGGTTTGTTGAGCGACCGCGTCGTCAAAGGTGACGCTCCTATTTATGAGTCCTGGTCGACGGGCTGGACGCCGAAGCACGGAAACGATTCTGTTTTCTTGAATATGACTGCTAAGAAGCCAGACGG